TCATGCAGGTCTTGGCTCAAGTGTACTGGTTCAAGTTACTACAAGGCATTGATGTTATAAAAATAATATCAATGACAGCATGTCTCCTTCAATCCCTATCTGCATTCACTTTCATCCTTACCTGCCTTGTTTTCAATCTTTAGCACTTCTACCCCCCAGCATATAGCATATGTGTTTATTTCTTTTCTTGTCTTCCCATCACAAGATAAAGATTTCGAGGGTAAGGAATTTGTTTCATTCATGCCGTCTCCCATCCTCTAAAACAGAGCCTGCCACATGGTAAAACCTAATACAATGTTTTCGTGATCTGGCTCCATTTAGCTCTCCAGCTTCATTGTTTCCCCTCTGTATGATGTTCCGGGTACAACAAATGACTTACACTTCTTTCATCCTGAATGCCCTTTGCATGAACTCTTTCTTCTGCCCATAGCACTTTCACTGTCTGCTTCTGACTTCAGGTGGAAGTGACTCCAACTTTTCCTGGCCTCTCCAGGGTTCCCGGTGCCTTTTCCAGGTTCTCCTGCAACACCTTGTCTTTCTTTCTCACTGCAACCCCTTCTATGCTGTTTGTACCCTTCTCCCCTACAGGAGACTCTGAGCTCACTTCTCAAGATCAGGGACTGAGTCTTAGTCAATGTTGTTTTCACAATTCTATCTGTAGTGTCTGGCCCATAGTAGCTTTTAATCTTGACTAAATTAATGAATAAATAAGCAGCATCTTTAATATGTAAGGCTCTGGATGGCATACAAGACAACAAAGTTATTCAATAAGAAGGTTCTTCTTAGTTTCTCCAGATATATTTTCATGAGGATACACATTTTGAAGACTACTCTCCCAGGTGCTGCCCTACTATAGGAAAAGTTCACTCTGATTCATATGGCCTAACACAGCCTCACCTTAATCTTGTACAGTCTTCCTTCACCCTCTTTCCAACATAAACCTTTCCTTATGAATGTTTTCTTTCCTTATGAATGAATGAGACACTAATGAATGTAAGTAAAAACAAAAAGTGTTAGGAGGCCATTATAAAGAGGTGATTTATATTTTGAACAAACTGTCAGTCTATTTCAATGTGTTTCTGCCCCCTTCTCTTCTCTCACCTGCACCCCATGGATCATCCTTCTTACATTCCCCCAACTGACAGTGCGGCAAAAATAAAAATCTGAAGAAATTACAGACAGGTCTAAGATGAAAAGATTGGAGTGCTGAACTGATGAGGGTTTACAGACTAAATTTTGTTTGTGTTTGTTTGTTTCCACATACTACGTGGGGTATGGAGAAAGGGAGGTGTGAAGGAAAAAGAAAACATAGGGCTGGAGAAGAAGAATGCAGATACTCAGAGTCCTAAAAATGGGGAAGAGATAAAGGAACTTCAACCTTAAGGACCAGGCAACTTTCGTGTAGGAAGGTGTGGGTGGTTATATATTGATGCTAGTATCAATATATATTCATAATAGTATTGAGTACAAATGCATATAAATGTGCAAAAAAGAAGGACCAGACAACTGAGATAGTCACAGAACTTCTGCAGATTTTTCTCCCCACCTTATCCCATGCATGCTAACCTGGGGACAGTCCTACTGTCCAACAATCCTGGAAACTTGCATCACTAGTAGGTGGGCAGTTCAGACACTCTGAGAATGAGTGGGTTGCAGAGCGAATGGTATGCATTGACCAAGGTGAATAAGCTCAAAATGAATTGAGGACTTCCCTAAAAGCCAGAGGACTAGTAGTTACATGGCTACTGCTAAAGCTACTTGGACATGATGGTAGTGGTGAAGATGGAAATAAGAGGAAATATTCGAGATATTTTTAGAGGGAAAAGCAGGCAAGATTTTTGGATAACTGAATGTGATGGATAAGGAAAAAATATGTATTTCCAGTTTCTAGCATAACCATCTAACACACACATCTGGTTGTGATGTCCCTGCTTAAAAATATGTGTTCACCTCCCAAATCCTTCAGCTCACAAGGATGTGACACTGGGTCACATCCATTGACCTTTCCAATGTCTCTCTTTCCTTTTGGGGTTACCACTAAGTTCCAGCCAAGCCACACTACTAACAGTTCTTCCACAGAAAATTCTGTTTCTTTCCTGCATGACTTTCTCTCTGCTGAAATACCCCTTTTAGGGTCTATGCCATGCCTACATTAATACCTCCTCTCAGGTTCTCATAGAAATCTGTGGCATTTGCTGCTTTTCCTTGCTATATGGCTGACAGTGGGAACTTGATTTAGTCTGGAGAGTGGATAAAGGTTGTTAAGAGACCTACACATGTGAGCACAGGAGTTGTGGTAGAAGCAGTGGGCTCCTTGAGTTTGTTCCCCCTGGACAGGAACAGCGGGAGGCCTGTGGGAGCAGCACACATGTAGACATGGAGATGTTGTCCCTCTGTCTGCTGAGTCCCTGGAGCATCAGCTCATACTCCCACAGCTGCTCCCATGGGCCTTCCAAGCAGCACTATATATAAAACAGTCTAGTCTGATCCAGAAAGGGAAACCAGCTGCAGCTGCTCGCTCTCAATAGGACGACTGCACATTCTCAGGTGAGTGCACCTTCGCCTGGGGTCTGGCAGCCCAAGGCTCTTGACATGCTAAGGGACCTGAAGACCCTCAAAACTGCTTCATGATAGGGTGGGGAGAAGCCCTTTTGGTTCTATCTATACTTTCAGGGGCTGGGAAAATACATCACAGAGCCTTAGCTAACAATCCAGAAAGGCAGGTGAATGCGGCAGCTACACTCAAACACAAAAAGAAGTTGCAATTAGGTCTAGAAAGGAGTCACTTTTGGTAGGAGGCCAGATGATGTGGGAATGAAACATGTGGTATTCTGGGGTAGGCACCCTGGGAGATGAGCTAGAGATGGCCCAAAGTCTTAGAGTTAGGTAAGGAAGTGCAGGTGCCAGTAAAGTGGAAAAGGGGCTCTGCAGAGAGAGAAGTCAAAAAGTACCTGACTCTATAGCCAGTGGAGATCTTTGTTGTCTCAGCACTACGTGCAATATTGTAGGCAAAGTCCATGAGAAAGTGGAACTATGTGACAGTGTTTTCCCCTCCATGCTTGCCCTTCTCTTCACCATATGTCCTCTGTCTCTTAGACACGGTGGTCTTGTGATCTGGGCTCTCGCCAGGGAAGGTTCCTTAGCTTAGTCTCATAATTTTCAGCATAGTTTGTTTAGATTCCTGCATCTACTTCCCCAAACTATCTCTGTGATGGACACAGAGATAGATGGATGGATACAAAATACAGGCTATCTTGTATCTCACTAAAGGATGCAATTATGTGCCTCAAAAAAGGTTTTTCATGTTCTAACACCACATGGGAGCCAAACTTGGGATTAATATTTGTCAAGGAGAATAGATGTTATGTCTGCAGAAGTTCTGAGGATGGAGAAAAGCAAACAGAGACAGAAGTGTGGCTTTTGTCACCTTTGAACCCTGAATCTGTTCTGCCTTGCTTATCCAGGGGGAAGATGGGAAGAATCTAATTCAAATCTCTAAGTACTCATTTTATCATGTTGTGTTTTAAAATCACGGTTTTCTAAACCTGCTCCATTAAGGTGAAATTGAAGGGTATTTCTCAGCTGCAGTAAGGACCCAGGTGAGGCATGAGGAAGCATCCTAGGAGGAATAGACAGGTTAGCCTGAGTACCATCAATGAAGACACCTGCAGAGTTTGTTTCCAAGAGTCAGAGCTACTGCTTGCACACAAGCTGTTGGTTCTTTAGAGACAATTAGCTCTAAAGAACAGGGCACATACGGTACCTAGCAGAGACTGATGCAGTTAGAATCCAGGTGTTTAGGTGGGGTTAGAGAGTAGGAACAAAGCAACACTGGATGCCTAGAAAAGAAATATCTCCCCTGACATGAATGACTTGTTGGTGAAGGTTCCAGGAAAGACAAAGCTCTAGGAACATGATTGTATAATCAGTAAATCTCTCCCAAAGCCAAGACTCAGCTGTCTTTGGGAACAAGGGACGTGGCATTGGAGACACTTTGTAGGTACCCACCAGACAGGAGCAAAACAAAGAGCTTTTACAGGAACCAGACTAGACAGCTAGGATCTGCCGGAGGCCACATGTCCTGCCAGCACCTTGTCTCTGAAGAAGACACAAGAAGAAGCCACTACCTTTGATTTTATGACCCCTGATGAGTTCCCTTTGATCTTTACGAGATTGACTTTTGGTGTTTTTTTTCTTAGTTTTTGTTTGTTTGTTTGTTTTCTTTCTTTCTTTTTAATTGCTGTTGTTTCTTTTTCCCCTTTCTGATGTTAGATCTGAGGACCTGGAATCCTGAACATTTGCAAAGTATCTCCTATCCCCACTGCCTTGGAACAACCATTATTCCCTTTTCTAATTCCTATTCATGTTTTAAGACTAAACAGAAGGATCATCTTTTCCAGAAAGATTCCTCTGATCATGCCTCTCCTCCCTTTCATTAAAGGAGCACCATATGCTAGGATTTACTGCAGTCTTCTATTATATTGGTTACTTGTCTATTTTCCACCTTAAGCGACTCATCTAGAGAGCAAGGGAAATGTCATCTCTGTATCAGTGTCACCTAGAAAATAGCCTTGAACATAGTAGGTCATATACATAAATTATTATAGAGTAAATGAATAAGTGAAAAAGGGTAGGAGGAGAGGGAGGCAGGAAGGAAGGGGAGAGAAGTACAAAAACAATCCTATCTGAAGGGGTCCCCAAAAGAGATACCCAGTATCTCAACAATGAAGATATGGACCAAGATGAAGCATCTGAGGGAGTTTGGAAGGTCAACATTTGGAGATGAGCATTAGTTGCCCCAGGTTCTCTTTTAACAATTTGAATGAATGTTGAAAGTAGTGATTAAAAAATAAATTGAGCTGTCACATTTCCCCTTTTAGAAGAGGGCCTTAGAGTTTATGAAAGAGCCTAAGTGGGAATGGGAGAAAAGAGAAGAGGAGAAAGAGCTAGGATTCCCAGGTCTCTGAGAAGCTCTCTGATTGTGCCCCATATCCCTGCAGGCTGCCAGTACAGCTTCACCTTCACCCAGTTCCACCTTCTTAGTGCCAGCTATGAGTTCCTGCAACTTCACACATGCCACCTTTGTGCTTATCGGTATCCCAGGACTAGAAGAATCCCATTTCTGGATGGGCTTCCCACTCCTTTCAATGTATGCTGTGGCTCTGTTTGGGAACTGCATCGTGGTCTTCATCGTCAGATCAGAGCGCAGCCTGCACGCTCCCATGTACCTCTTTCTCTGCATGCTGGCAGCCATCGATCTGGCCTTGTCCACATCCACTATGCCCAAGATCCTTGCCCTCTTCTGGTTTGACTCCCGGGAGATTAGCTTTGAGGCCTGCATTACCCAGATGTTCTTTATCCATGCCCTCTCAGCCATCGAATCCACCATCCTGCTGGCCATGGCCTTTGACCGTTATGTGGCCATCTGCCATCCACTGCGCCATGCTGCAGTGCTCAACAATACAGTAACAGCTCAGATTGGCATGGTGGCTGTGGTCCGTGGGTCCCTCTTCTTTTTCCCACTGCCTCTGCTCATCAAACGACTGGCCTTCTGCCACTCCAACGTGCTCTCACACTCCTATTGCGTGCACCAGGATATGATGAAGTTGGCCCATGCAGACACATTGCCCAATGTGGTCTACGGTCTTACTGCCATTCTGCTGGTCATGGGTATGGATGTCATGTTTATTTCCTTGTCCTATTTTCTGATAATAAGAACGGTTTTACAACTGCCTTCAAAGGCAGAGCGGGCCCGGGCCTTTGGAACCTGCGTGTCACACATTGGAGTGGTTCTGGCCTTCTACGGGCCACTGATTGGCCTCTCAGTGGTACACCGCTTTGGAAATAGCCTTGATCCCATTGTGCATGTTCTCATGGGTGATGTCTACCTGCTACTGCCTCCTGTGATCAATCCCATTATCTATGGTGCCAAGACCAAGCAGATCCGAACACGGGTGCTGGCTTTATTCAAGATCACCTGTGACAAAGACCTTCAGGATGTGGAAGGCAAGTGACCCTTACCAGTGTACCTCACCTTATCTGTACTGTTTGATTTATATAATGTTACCTAACACTAGCTTAATTCCAGTTTCCGATAAGCACATTAGTGTATTTCTCTGGCTGGAATAGTGAACTAAAGTATGGTCCATCTACTTCATAGAATATTGTGTGGAATAATACATATCAATGGAATATTATGTGGTTTAAAGACTGCTATAAAATAAAATATGGTTATAATGTAAAGAAAAACAGTGAAGATACATAATTATAACTTACTTGAAAAATACAGTATGTCTTGAAGGAAATGTACTCAAATTACTAATTATTTTGTTTTGTCCCTACTTTCTAAATGTCCTTATGATGGAGGTATTATTTAGCTAACGTGTACAACCTTTTACATGGGGAAAACTGAGCTGATAGTTTATAAAAGGCAGGTCTCGCTGTGATCCTCCCAGCTGGTTTGTTATACATTACCTAGACATTTATATAAACCCTTAATAATAACACTTATGAACATATCATGTGTACTTTCAATGTTCTGGGAACTACTATGCGTGCTGTATGGGTTTTATATGATATTTACAACTTTATGGGGTAGGGACCATTTTTTGTCTCCTCATCACAGGTGCAAGAAATGAAGCTTATATTAGCAGGGGAACTTAACTAAATCACAAACTTGTGGGTTCTGTGCCAAGATTTGAAATTAAATTTGATCATTGAATACAGTTAACTACCACGTTATATTGCTTCCTTTGTGACATCTGCCGTTTATTTCCTCAGCCTATATGAATCCTCTGTTTTCTCTCTGCCGTGTGCTAAGATTGATGGCTTTGTATTTGTGCTGAGCGATAACCCTGCCCTAGCTGTGAGCAACACACTCAAATTATCCTTCGTGTTTTATAACCATTTCTCATGGTCTAATTGCCTTCTTTCCAGAAGCAGGGAGAATGTTTTTGTCTGTTTATCGCTTATATCTCAATGATGTCTTCCCTTTTTAGTGTTCCCTGTACCTGTCAAACATTTTTAATGTGCAGTACATAATACTGTCTGAGTTTTAACTTAAGTAGAAGATAAAATAAAATTTTAAGTTTTGCTAAGTGTTACGCTTGTTGCTTTTACATTTGTAGAATCCTATAAACCAGAATCAGAGATCTGAGAGGTTCCTAGTCATCTTTCTCACTGGTGCAGGTGTTCTGAACAGGTATTATTGGTGCAACCGCAAAGATGCTGAATGAAGCTGATAACTGACTTTCATATGCCTAAGAACATTGCCATATTGGCAATTTAATAAATAGTTCACCTCTTTCTCTCCAATTCCTTACTCTCTCCCACTACAGCCCAAGTTGTTTATAATCTATTCCTTTCTTCCCTCCCCTTCCCCCTGCACTAAGATTTTTGACTTTTAAAAATGGTCCAAAGACTTCTATTCCAATGTTCATAGGAGCATTATCCACAATAACCAAAAGGTGGAAACATCTCAAATGTCCATCGATAGATGAATGAATAAAAACAAGGTGATGTATACATGCTATGAAATATTATCCAACCTTAAAAAAGATATAAAACTCTGGCACATGCTGCAACATGAATAAACTTTAAATCATGCTAAATGAAAGACTCCAGACACAAAAGGACAAATGTTTTATGATTCCACTTATATAAAGTACGTAGGATAGGCAAATTCATAGAGAAAAAAAGTAGAATACAGGTTACCAAGAGCTGAGGGGAGGGGAAATGGGGAATTATTACTTATTGAGTACCAAGTTTCAGCGTGGAATGATGGAAAACTTCTGGAAATGGATACTGGATATGATTGTACAACAGTATGAACGTATTTAAAGCCAATGAATTATATGCTTAATGTGTAAAATGGTAATTTTATATTATTTATGTTTTAGCACAATAAAAATATCACCAAAAATAATGTAACAATTTCATCAACAATTTTATATCAAGAACATGTTGAAAAGATTGTATTTTGAATATGCTGTGTTAAAATTATTTATCAAGGTTTTTTTTTTTAAAAGACACTCAAAGGGTATTATATTTAGTCCAAAGTAATAAAGTTTTAATGGTAGAACTACCACGGCTGTAACAAGCCCATTATTTTTAGTGGCAATTTTTATAGTCTTCAAGCTCCATCATGATGGACTCCAAATGTGTATGCATCTCATCACAGAGCCCAAGGATGAGCAAATGGAAGGGGAGGACAAGACACAAGAGTTCCTGTCACTGTACACACTTAGGTGAGTCACATTTCCTCTGCTGCTTTTTTCTATCTATAACCTTATAGTAGACTTAATTTCTCAGATAAAAATACAGAAAAGAGAAGAAAAAAACTTCCAACTATACTTTGAAGATCTTTCTATGACTATCATTTAATAATTTAGAAAGAACTTATGGATTGGAATAATAAAGTTATGATCATGCAGATGAGACAAAATCATATGACTTCGTGATGAGTAGTACTATGTGTTCACTTGACTGGGCCACAATGCTTAGCTATATAGTCAAAAATTTTCTGCATATTTCTATGAGGGTATTTTCTTGTATGAGATTAACATTTTCATGAAAGGGCTTTACCCAGGTAAAGAAAATTTCCTTCCATAATGCGAGTAGGTCTCAGCCAGTTAGTTGAAGGCCTTAATAAACCAGACAGAATTCTGCTTATGAATGTGGCATGAGGACTTAACTACAGTGTAGCTCTTCTTGAGCCTCCAGCCTAGTGGTCTACCCTGCATATTTTGGACTTAATTAGCCTTGATAATTGTGTGAGCCAATTCCTTATCATAAATCTCTTTATCATCTATCTATCTATCCATCCATCTATCTATCTATCTCTTTGGTTCTGTTTTCCTAAAGAAACTCGACTAATATATACCTAAAAATTGAACAAAGGGAAAAATCATCCCTGTGAGTAGCTAAGCTGCAAAGACAAGAGTGAAAGTTGAAAGAAAAGTCATAAAGACTATGACATGTAAAAGATGAAATTAACTGTACTAGACCAATCTGTGGTAGGCCTCACAAACTATCCAAGCTCAAATTCTTTTAACACCAATTTGTTCAGACCACATGTTTCAGGGCCAAGTACCAATTGATCCAATAGGAACTCTGGGTGGACTCATCTGTGCTAAAAATATCCCACTCCTGAAAACCCCCTTCCCAAACCATCTCATGACTAACCGTAGACCATCATGCTCTATAAATATACTTCCTTAACTCTCCTTTTGAAACAAGTTAAGGTCCTTTTGATATGATCATCTTAGCAGCAGCAAACCAATAATCTAACTTTATCTCACTACGAATATGTCCCTGGTAGTCTTTAACTGGTGGATTTTAGCAAAATTTATGTGAAAACTCTCTTAAGAGTGAAGCAATGAATTATCTAAGAAATACTTAGTGTCTTGATTTTGGTTTCCCAGAAACAAGGGCTTGGGTAAAGCCCTTTGATTTGGGTGAAGGTAATATAATTAAGAGATGCATCTAGTAAACAGAAATGAGGGAGTAAAGACAGTGATTCAGTGAGGAAGAAAATTCAATACAGCATCATTACCAAGAGTGCTATGGTGGACAGTGAGCCTTTGACTCTACTATGACCTCTATGAAGAATGTTTGGGGTGGGTCAGGCACAGTGGCTCATGCCTATAATCCTAACACTCGAAGAGGTCGAGACAAAGTGGATTGCCTAAGTGCAGGAGTTTGAAACCAGCTGAGCAAGAGCAAGACCCCATCTCTTAATAAAAGTGGCTAGGCATTATGGTGGGTACCTGTCATCCCAGCTACTTGGGAGGCTGAGGCAAGAGGCTCACTTGAGCCTAGAAGTTGCTGTGAGGTATGACGCCAGGGAGCTAAGTGAGAGTCTGACTCACCAAAAAAAAAAAAAAAAAAAGAATGCTTGGGGCAATTTTCTATCCAAAGGGTGGAGAAAGTCTTCTGTCCATCTACTCTTATCCTCCTTTGACTAAAGGTTGTTGCTGGAGTTTTAACTCCATTGCATTTTCAATGTGCATCTGTTCCTATGGTTTTGAAGAAAACCCCAAAGTGGAAAAGCCCAGAGAAAGGGAAACTACCTGCAGTAGGAAATAGAATGAATGAAAGTGTCTGTCACAGCTGCAGATGAAGTCACAGGTGGGCCAAGGAGGTGGGACATGGGATGCATAGAGTACCTGCTCTACCTGGGTTGGGGGTGGGGGGCATAAAGTTTTGAGAAATCTATAATTTGATGTCTACTGCATTTAACACTACTGAGTATTGAGAGCTTACTGTCCATCCTCTGCTATAATATCTTACTTTCATAATTGTCAAAACAAACATTTGGGACGATGGCCATCTTATAGACTAGGAAACAGAGGTACAATTGAGAGTTATGTAATACAATCAGAGTGACTTGATAGCAAATGGCAGGGTCCAGAGTTGAACCCAGGTCTCTCTGACTTCTGAGTCTTCTCTTTCACACTTCATTGAGCAGAACTGTAGTCTGACCTGGAAGGCAGGCATTGGTCCAGGCAAGTGATGATGGATCCTGGGAAAAGACATCCTCTGTAAGGGAAGGCTTTCCATAAGTGTGTTCCTCCTGCGTACGTCTGTTTTTCCAGCTGAAACATGGGTGACAGGGTAACATTTTCTTTTAGAGACCAAAGATATTTCAGCCAGAGTCCCAGCATTGTTTGCTTTTCAAGTTCCCATGTCTTTTCTGTAAAATAAAAAAGAATATCAGAAAGATAGCCTAATCTGTTTCTACTCCCACAGTTTCTACCTCGTGAAGTGATGTGAAATTTTATTTTTCTTTTTTGTAACTGTTTTATTGAAGTCTGGTTCACAGACTTTAATGTACACATCTTGATGTGTTTGAATATAAGTACACACACCTGAAACAATCAGTGTAATCACTGTAATAAACTTATCCGTCACCTCTAAACTCTTCCACCTCCTTTATTGTTGCTGTTGTTGATTTTTCCTTTTGTGGTAAGACCATTTAACAAATCCACTCTTTTAACAAATTTGTAAGTATCCAATACAGTAATGTTAATCAGAAGCAGTGTGTTGAGTTGCTTTTAAAGCAGTGGTTCTCAACCTGTGGGTCATGGCCCCTTTTTAACAATGAAAATACATTGCAGCATAAGGAAGGTGGAGAACCCCTGTTTTAAAGAAATGTCTCTCTCCTACCTCATACCACATGCCCCTAATGCAGACCCAGAGAGAACCAGAACAGCAGGGGCTGGGAACACAAGTTTAGC